TCTTTATATTAATGCATTCAACAAAAAATTGTCAAAATCCAAGTCCCTCTGAGTCAGGCCCTGGTTGATATGATATAGAATGGCTCATATCTAAAATAGTAAATAAGATAGATCAAAGAACAGTCCAACATTAGATGTTTGTCAAACACAAAACACTATATTTGAGAAATAACTAATTTATACATGATATTTTTAAGAAAAAAATCCCTCATATATAACTTAAATAGTATTAATAATAATAGCACACATTTTTGACTAGAAAAGATGACAGATTTTTTTGTATTTTTAAGGATTTTTAGTCTAAGCCAATACCTGATTTAATTTATAATTCCCATTTAAAAAGAATCAAACATTAAAGAAAATATTAGTAATAAGGACTAAATAAATAAATGATAAAACGTAACTAAAAAAAAAAAAAAACCCCACAGACATGAATTTGAAGAAATCCTGCCAAAATCAAAAGGTTCTTGTTGAAATCAGAGGCTCCCAACTCAAACTCCCATAAATAATAATTAATACAGTACTTCTAAAACTGACTTCAACACAATATTAAACGTATCAGATAATTTAATTTAATATTTAGGAGACAGATTAAAGAAAATCACAACATGCAGTAATTTTTTTTTAAATGTAAAAAATATATAATTTTTCAGAACTAGTAGCTCATTGATTATTAGGTTCAATGACAAAATAAAAAAGATTGATAAAATCAGAGTCTATTTCTCAAAGGCAAAAGAATATTTAATCAAACATTTAATCCTTAAAGATTACAGACTTCATAAAGACATTTACCCAGGTAAAAAAAATCATAAAAATGTACGACTCATTTTTCAAGAAAAAATAAAAATAATAATTTCAACCACTAGACGACTAACAAAAAAAGATATTATGCTCTGACATAGGTATAAAACATCAATTATAATAAGAAAAAAAAAACACGAATTTCACTATGACAATTGAAGAATAATTTTTTTTTAAGTAAGTAAGAATGATTCTTGAAAAAATGTAAAAAATGATTAAACTTTAACTTAAACAACTTCATTATAGCAACTACTTCTGAACAATTAGCATCTTTCATTGAAAGAGAGTTTAGCATTATATACACAACAGGACATAGGACGGAACATAACTTCCAACAGACATCTTTGGTGATTAATCCTTATCCAAATGAATGAGGTAAAAAAAAAATTAATAATTTATATACCAGTACATGAAAGTAAAAACAAAAATTAAAAGTATCCATAAAAGAAAAATAGAAAACAAAAAGAAAATTTAATACAACCAAAACATAAATTAATTGATTTAATAACAATAACATAAGTGAAAAACACTGCATTAGAAAATTTTAACAATGATGCATGATGGTACACAGGGTAAAGAAACATGGAAATCATGATTACAGAACAGAAACAATTGAGAAATAAACAATAAAATAACATCTTAAAAAACCATCCATAATACAAAAATAATTAAAAATATGCATTAAGGCTTATCAGTAATTATCCCCACTATAATGCAATTCAGCCTCATTTTTTTTCTGGAAAAAGAGTTAAACTATTCCCTTTTATTTTAGTTTTTTTTTTTATAAATTCCTTTCTATTTCGCTCCTAGATACTATGTAAATGTGAACAAGCGAAATCAAGAATAATTATTAACATATTAACTGTTATGACAAAGGAAATAAATAATCAACACAAACATATTTTTGGTCATAAAATTTTCCTTGGATGCATTCATGGATTCGAGACTGACTAAAATGAATGTTTCAAGAATGGAACTTTGTGAGGTACTTATTTAATAGCGGGTAGCGTCAAAACCTCCCTTCTTATCTAATCTCATTTCTCATAACCTCCCTTATCTCATCTAACCTAAGTTATTCGATTGTTAATTTTTTGTTTCTTATGTTAGCTGTGAGTTAGTGTTATTTAATTATGAATGTTGTTACATTGTGGGAATTACAGTCTTCAGAAGAAGAGGCTATAAAATATTTTTAAGACGCCGGGATATTTGCAAACAAGTGGAGTTTGCCGAGAAACTGACGAGTGTTTTATTGTCAAAATAAACGATAGAAAAGCAACAACTTTATTAGAAGCCATTAAAAACAATGTACAAGAGGGAAGCACCATTTATTCCGACTGTTAGAAAGGATACAACACCAAACAACTCAATGAAGCAAATTACAATCATTTTCAGGTGAATCACAGGTATAATTTTGTTGATCCATCAAGTGGAGTCCATACTCAACACATTGAACGATTATGGGGCTCAGCTAATTGGAGAAATAAGAAACAGAGAAACTGCCAAACAACACCTGGATTCATATTTATGTGAGTTTTTGTGGCGGCAGGCGCATAGAGAACAGGATCCCTTCCTCGTTATTTTAAATACCATAAAACTATTTTCCCTACCAAAATAAATCAAGTTAAAATAAAATTTTTCATATTTTGTTTATAGTTTCTTCATAATGTTTCTTTTATATGTACATATGCTGTTTAAGTGGTTTTTTATTATTTCATCTATTTTTTGCCTATTTTTATTATTTCATTTATTTTTATATATATGTTGCAATGTTTTCTTAATGTTTTTTAATTATAATACAAAATCTCTTATATGTACAAAATCAACTTAGTTGAGGTTTTGAGTTCGATTTCTTTCTTTCTTGTAACCACACTAGGTAATGAACTTGTCCCATCCTTTTCCACTCTTTCCTCTCTAATGCTACTCTCTTCCAGGCTGCTATCCCGCAGGTCTTCTTCATCTCCTTGTCCCAGTCTGTCGGCGGGCGTCCTCTCTTCCTGACGTGCTCTCTTGGATACCAATCCATAAACTGTCTGGTCCATGTTAATTCATTCCTCCTGATTACATGTCCAGTCCAGGTCCACTTCCTGATGTGCACTTTTTCCACAATATCTGGAAGGTCAGTCTTAGCTCTGATCCACTTGTTTGTTTTTCTATCCCTTCAAGTTATTCCTAGAAGATATAGCTCCATTCCTCTGACGGTTATCCTCAATTTGTGGCAAGTCTTCTGGTCAATCGCCCATGTTTCACATCTATATGTCATGACAGGAAGTACTGTACTCATCCAAAGTTTTCTCTTGACCGCTGAGCTCACCGAGGATCTATATATATCCTTAAATTTGAAGAGTGGGTACATCGCCTGATTATTTCTTCAGTTTGTCCTTTAATTGAGATAAGGTGCCCAAGATATAGAAATGTTTTTACTTTCTCTATATGGTGTTCACCTATTTTTCACAACGTTCACTGAAATATACTTGCATTTTTTATAATTTATTTTCAGTCCTATGTTTTCTCCAGCCTTTATTAATTGATATGTCATCATTAGGATTTCTTCTTTATTTGTACCTATTAGGACTTGATCATCCGCAAACTCTAAATGGTTCAGCCACTCTTCAAAAATTTTCATTCCTTTGTTCTGCCAATTCATAGTTTGCATCAAATCATGGAGAACTGATACAAATATTTTAGTAGAAAGGGTATCACCTTGTCGTACACCTTTACAAATTTTTATTTTTATTGTAGTATTTCCTGATGTATATTCTGCATTGGATCTCGAATACATATCTTCCAGTATCTTGCATATTCTTGAACTAATGTTCCTCTTTTTCAACATATTTATAATGTAATCGGTTTTTAGAGAGTCAAATGCTTTTTCGTAATCCAGAAAAAGGAGGCTCACTGACAGATTATAGTCATTAGCTTTCTTAATTAACTCTTTAATCACAAATATGTGGTCTACAGTAGAGTAATTCTTCCTAAACCCTGCTTGATGTTTTTCTAATTCTATATCCAATTTGTCTTCTATTCTTCTAAGTAGGATTTTAGAAAATATTTTATATAAAACTGAGAGTAGGCTTAATGGGCGATAATTATTTAAATCTCTCTTATCTCCTTTCTTTGGCAGAATTATGAGTTTTGCAGTTTCCCATTCTTTAGGAAAGCTTGCATTCTTAAGTCAACCTATTTTTTATCCATTGTTTTTTTCATTGTATGCACAAACAAAGGTTATTATTATTATTATATTTATAATGTTGTGGTCTATTTTAATATATATGTTGTAAAATAAAAGTATTTTTTTATTATTACATTTGTTTTTGTTTTTGTTCACAATTTCAATAATATCAATACAATACAATAAATATGAATACGAAGATATAATAATATGAATATAATACAATAAATATGAATACGAAGAGCTTATCAGTGTTAAGGTTATGAACATTGGCAGATAGTCAGACGCTACCCACTATTAAATAAGTATCCTTTGTGATACTGTTCTGTTGTCACAGTTTTTCTGGGATGAATTTCTTTTTCAAATGTTGGGAGGATATATAGCTGAGGTCCCAGGCTTCTTCTGGTTGCCTTAATCCAGCTGAAAGAATAATATATTCTGTGGAGACCCAAGAACTGCTTAAGCACATAAACAATAAACAATGGTAAAACAATTACAAAGGATAAACCACCTCTGATTCCTTTCTAAGTGGAAAAATAACAACTCAACTTCTACAAAAGTCTATTTACCCAGCTCTGGCACCGTCAACCCTCAGCATTGTTTATTGTACCTAGGGAGATTTTTGTCATTATGGATTTTTCAAAAAACAAAGAATCCATGAAGATTCTTCTTTGTATTTTCCATTTGCATCAAACATATGTAAATAAGTTCTTTTAATGAACTCATCATTAAATAATCATGAAAGTCTAGAGAAACAGGACCAATAAAATCATATGCATCTCCATGAAAACATAGTAGAGGGACAAACCATTAAGGAATAGTTCTCTTGTTACAAGCGATTCTACCATCATGGGGTAGAAATAAATCAAAATTTAATAGTTAACAGCTTCTGGAAAAAGCCAAGATTAAATTAAACAAGTACAAAAAATTAAAGAACAAATAATCTTTTAGATTTTAAAATTACATGCAAAAACAAAGCATTTTGATTAGGCTGGATTATTTTTCCCTTTTTTTTTATTTAAGGAGCCAGTCAAGATTTGTCTCTGCACATAGACTTGTTAATCTGAAACACACAAATGGTTGACAATTACTTAATTAACAGAAATAGTAATGATAAAAATATGAAATATTTGTGATCAATTATTATCAAATATTTCAATGCAGAGAAGATAAGTTGTTAACTGAGTCAGAAATAATTATTTTTTAAAAATTAAATAGTGAAAAAATTGGTAAATCAAACTACTAGGAAACAAATGTATAAGAGAAGCAGGACCATCGCACAGGTGCTCTCCTCATCACCACTGGCATAACTTTCTCATGTTTGAAAATTTTATAGCTTTGCACTTCTACCAATAATGAATAAATAGATTTCAAATATGTAGCTGACTTGTAATTTTATAACAATTACAACTGAGTTTAGAAATGAGAGAAAAATCTGACCCAAGTAACTGTTTCATAAAATCCTCATGTTTTGACGTAGTCTCTGTCATTGAGGAGAAAATAATTATTACAATATGCTAATATAAACTTAAAAGTATGTATTTTTTCAACTGAATCAAATGGTAGCTTTAAGCTTATCTAAATAAATAAACACTTAACTAAAACATTATTATACTCTTCTTTCTAATTTGATTACTCTATTTTATCAGTATCTGTGAAATAAATATTTATGCTAATAGAGATAAAACCATGATACCACTGCTAAGCTAATCTGTAATTCTTCTGGAGGCTTTGACTGCCAGATTTTCATTGTTGCCAGAGATTTCATAGTGGTCAAGCATGATAAAGCGTAGCCTTCTTTAGTATCCTTAAGTATAATAGTACCAGTTTGAATACTGTCTGGAAAGTTAGAAATTTATTTTGTGACAGATGCATGAAAATAATTCCGACCATCCCACTGTGATTAGAATAATTTTGGATGTATCTCTTGAACTATTCCTTTTGAACCCTCCCTTCTCCCTCTCCCCTATATGTCAGAAGTCAGGAGATAGGAGATTAATGAAAAAAAAAAACATTGTTCATTGCAAATGCTATGCCTGGTGTAGTGTATGTTTTTTTTTAGCAAAAATAAAATGTATGGGGAGAGAGAAGAAGAGGAGAGGGATTTTGAGTGTTTATAATTTCTTCTCCTCTTCCATCTAGTCAATCATATTCCCATGCGGGGAGTGTGCGTTGAAATCACCAGTGACTAAATTGTCTTCTTTGAATCAGATACTCATTCAATTTTGAATTGTCTCTAGTTGATTAGAGTCTATTTGGAATCAGATACTGATATTTTTTTTATTTTTTTTTTATTTTCGTTCTTCCCTACCTCGCCATTTAGGTTATACGGGATTTTCCTAGGCCAGGAGGTGAGGGCGGGAGATTAATGCCAGAGTCAAAAAACTCCCACCGACACCAGGACACGAACTCATAGTTATTTTACTATCAATAATTCGGTTATCAGGTTGCTGCGGTGCAGTGAACACACGTTAGCCCACTTGGCCACCCCACCCCTATTAAGATACTGATATCTTATTTTCTATGTTTTATAGAAGATGAATTGGAGATATTTCCTTAGTTTAAAATATATGGTAGATCATTGTAAATATTCCTTCTTTGTTTTATGGTAATACAAAGCATATACACTATCTTTTTGAGAACTTCAAATCTAGGTAATTAACACAAAAGATGTACCCCATTGGCACAGTGGTAGGCTTGCCAGAAATCTCTGAACGGGTGCTGCAACATGATGTCAAATTAGTGTCTTTTCCAACAGCTGCCTCAAAAAAAAAATGCAGTCAGTGGTGGACTTTCCTTACCTAAATCTGCTTTGTAGTCACCGATAATCCTCTTCAAGTATGCCTTTAATCTCATGCAATTTAAGGATGACAGCAGTTGGTAGGCAACACGGCAGGAGGGCAATACCTCTATAATGGTCACATTGCAGTCTATTATCTTTCTTGGAGATGTAGACTGTAGACCTTTTAAATGGCATCGCATAAAAAATTATTAGCATCAGTATAGCATCTCCACAGGTGTACAGACCCCAGGAGGAGCATTATGATTTTTCATGCAGAAGAGAACTTCCATGGCCTCATCCTTATCAGAAGGTGCTTCTATGCTGTACCTGTTATCTTTTTTAATGGACAGATCCAGATCAAGATCCTGCAGATTTTTGTTACCTAAGTTCATATATAGTTGTGATTTTTCTAGAAATATATATAACAGACAAATATGCCAAAACATAAATTCTGATCAAAATTCCTTAAAATGAGAATTTCTTCTTGAGATTTGCCCTATTTTCCTCTTTATGTTTAGAATTCTAAAATATCAAAAAGCCCATTACAGCTCAAAGGAATAAGGTCACCAACCTGCATAGATAGACAAGAAAGTGAGGATCTTGGTGTTGGTAGTTCTCCAGCGAAAACCCATTTGTCTTCTACAGGATCATAGGCTTCTATTGATTGGTGATACTTATCCCATCCTTCCTCACCTCCAAGCACATATACCATCCCACCAATCACAGCAATACCTGTAAAATTTCAAGAATTAAAATAAAATTGATAAATATGAATTAGATAAAGAAAAAAATTGTAATTATCCAACATTCTTATGACTAGAAGCTTATCATTGAATATATTTATTTTGTCTTACTAACAAGAGAAATATCACACATCCAGACAAAAAGTTTGAAGATCAATCATACAAAGTAATTATATAACTGTTTAGTATTTAAAAAGTAAATAAAAACAAATCTAATGAGAAAAAGGATGGTAAAAATAAGCACCATAAAGAAGCAATAAGTAAAATTAATTACCAGGCCTATATCTCTTTTCAAGCATTGATGCTCTCAGCTCCCAAGTATTCGTATGGGTATTGTACCTTTCACAACGATTTGTATTCTCAGTTGATGCATGCCAACCACCTAATAATTTCATAAATTTTAACATCAGATTTAAATAATGAAGCAAAACACAAGTATTTTCAAAATTAAGATAAGTCAAATAATGTGAGTTCAAATCTATAATTGTCCAGATATTGAAATTAATGTATCTTTTAAATGTGAAAAATTTCAAGTTATAAGTAATGACGTTTATAAGGAATATTCAATTACTTACTCAACATTAAAGCAAATGGACCATTAAAAATTGGAACACATCCTAATCACAACAATCAAGATATATCAATATTCATTACTTTGTCTTAAACTTACACCAATATATAAAAAACTGGGCATTTATTCTTAAAACCAAATTACGTATGATAGACAATATAAATGAATGATACATACCAACAACATAGATATAATCACCAAGGGAACAGGCAGCAGCGCCACTTCGTGGTATTCTCATGGATGGCATTTCAGTCCATGAGTCTGTGAGTGGAGAATATTTCTGTACCAAGTGAATGCCATCCCCATCCTCCAACACAGCACCTCCTAAAATTAAATAACACATTGAAATTTTTCTCTAAATAGTGGAGACCAAAACAGAACTTATAAATCCAATAAGTAATATTTTGTAGTTCTAAAGCTAAAATAGGTAGGAATAACAATACATATATAGCTTATACATAGCTATTAACAAATATTAAAATAACAGAACATAATATTCCAGAAAAATATCAAAGTAATATAGTCAAAGGGAAAATAATACAAGATTAATTAAGCAAATACTGAAAGAATACTGCTTGAGGTGGTATGAACATCTATTACCAATGTAACAAAATAGTACAGCCACAGCTAAGGTGACCCAAGCCTTGAACGGACTCAGTCGTGTGGGGGGTGCATTCTGGGGCCTCAGATACCCAGTAACAATGACGATCTATAAAGGCATTGTGCTGGGTAACTTGAGGTATGTATCTCCCTCCTGGTATAGTTCTCCCCACTTGTGGAGTTCTGGAGACTGTCGAGCACGTGGTCCCGACCTCCACAGCATTCGAAGGAATAAGGGCAACAATAATGAGAACCGCGGGAATTTATGTCCTAACAGAGGATGAACTTCCTCATTGGTAAGTAAGGAGAACTTCCCTCGGTTCAAGAAATTTATTTATGACTGAAAGGAGGCAGTGAGTCCAGCACACTTCAACATTGGAGCACGGAAAAGAGGACCAGCACTCAGAAGACCACCGGAAGACGGACACCCTTGATCAAGTCATTGAAGATAAAAACTTTTAAACTGTTTCACTTGCAGTAGTGTGTTGCTATGCAAACGCCCGTATAGCCCATTAGGCAAGGTAGGATGGAATGTAAATAAATAAAAAATAAATAAAGTATAGCCACAGCTACTTATGAATCTATGGTAAAGGGAAGAGACCTCATTTTTACTTTTACTTACCTATATATGTAATATACAGTAAGGGAAAGTATTGTGATCGTGAAAATTTTTTAATCAGAGTTTTCAATGGAAATGCATATTTTGAGGTTCCCTGAGTCCAAATAACCAAATCCTAAAAAATAGTCTGTATGCGCGCATGTATCTGTGTCTGTGTGTGTGTGAACAGTCTAGCTCAAAAATGAAAAGTCGTATGCAGCTGAAATTGAATATTTGAAGTTTATACATGTTTGGGATGTTACAGCAACTTTTTTCTCATAATCAGGTAACCCAAAGTTCCACTTCATATCATAGATTTTACAAATTTTTCTCGAAAACGGCTTTTGATTAAATTTGTCATATCAGTGTATAATTAAGCGGTTTTAAAATAAAATTAAATATTATTCTAATTGATGTTCTCTAACAGTGTTTGAATGACTAATTTTCATAGTTTTTCCTCTAGAGTACATTTAATTTTTTTTTAAATAATTAACCATTTCACATTGGCATCGGATATAAAAAATTGTTAAATACAATGAATGGAGAAAATTTATTTGTAACTAAAGGAGAAATAAGGATTGGAAGCCATAAGGTAACAGCAGAGACTGCCCGATCTTGGCTGATTTTCTCCCTTTGCAGATACCCGATACCACTCTGCACAGGGCCTTCATATTGTTAGTTTAACATTTATATATAATTTATTCATAATTTTTTTAAATGTTTTTACATGAAATATTGGGGATCTATCAAGACCTAATAATATACAATATTTACTAACGTATTTATTTTTTCAACAAGTTTCGTGATAAATATTTTCGATAAAACTCAGAATTTTCCAAGAGATCTATCTTTCTCCATAATCATTCGTATTTTTTGATACTATACACACTAGTAAAAGGAAATGGTAAGTGATGCAAACGTATAAATTATTATATTATTATAAATTATTTATCAATCAAAACAAGAATACTTCAATTTAAATCAAAGTAATGTTTATAAAAAGTCAAACAAAAAACGGAAATTGAAGCTCCAAACCTAACAATCGGAAATACAGTAGAATATGCAAGTACGTAATAAATCAGTCAAGAATAAAGATTATCCTAGAGGATAGAACAGTAAAGTAGAACAGACAATAGATGACTGCACTTAATGTGGCTGTATATCTTGAAGAGAAATAACACGTTAATAAAACACAGTCATGATTAATTTGAACTACTATCGAACAAATATGTTTTAAGAGGCATGTATTTATTAACTAATAATAGTAAAATTAAATTAAATGATTAATTATACATAATTATCAAATTGGACATTTTAAATTTTATGAGATGAATAAATAAATAAAGATAAACAAAATAAATAAAAAATTACCAACAAAAAAGATAACTACTAAAATTTAATGATGTAAGAGAATAAATTGGCAGAATGTAACTGACCAGTAACAAAAAGGTTGCAGCCTTGGGTGGCAACTGCTGGAGAAGTTAGGGCTGTCTTCATAGGACTAATCAAAGTCCAGGTATTTGTTGTGGGGTCATATCTTTCACAGGAATCAAGTCTACCGGATCCATCCCAGCCTCCAATAGCGTAGATTTCTCCATCAACAACACCCAAACCTGTAAAGATGTAGTTCATTCTCTTAGTTAGTTGAAAAAAATGGTTCTAAACACTGATCAGGGTGTCTAGTAGTAGGGAATTTCGGAAAAATTAGGAATGTCGGACATACTGAAAGGTCAGAAATGCTCTAAATTTTGCAAGTCAGTTTTTTTTTAAGGCAGCAAAGTCGCCCTTAGTTATTTAATATCTTCTTTAAATTTTTATGGGCTCTGGCTTAATTTTGGCTTTTTATATTTTATTATAATTTGAGCAGTTAATATTTGCATTTTTGGAAGAACACTTAAATTTCATTGATAGCTAATTGTTGCAATAGCAATTAGAAGTTCTTTCATTGGCAGTACATATCTTATAACCAGACTTATTTCTATTGGTCTTGTTAGTTAAATTCAAAAATTTCCTAGAAATATATTAAATTTCCTTTTCCCCTTTTATTGAGTGATAAGTTTTAAATAGTAGGTTACTTTTTTTTTCTTCAGTTGCAACTGTCAAAACGTGCACTCATTGTGTAATAAAAAATGTTAACCATTACCATAATGTTTTAAAACAGAAGGTTTATACCATTATTAAATTCTACAAGTGTGTATCTTCTTCTTCAATGGCACAACAGATGCATAAAGCAATCCTTGGCCTGCTCAATTTTTTTTGCCCTACCCTGCAGCGACCCTATCTGCAGCATGTACTGTGCCTGCTCTGTGTACACACACATATATATCCTAAGTAGTAATATATATATATATATATATATATATATATATATATATATATATATATATATATATATATATATATATATATATATATATAGACATGTATAAAGTAAAAAAGTAGCAGAGATTTCCAGTATGCATTGATTTATTATTGTATGTGTTAAAACGTCTGCCAAGTAAGGTCAGTATAACTTCCTCACCGTTTTCACTGGCTAAACAATATCTATATTTAAAAGTATAAAATTTTTCGTAGGAGAATAAAATCAACATGAGAAGCCATTTTCTTAAATACAGTAATTCCTTATCATTTGCGGGTTTGATATCCATCAATTTTGTTCATCAGCGAATACTAAAATGCAGAATAATTCTGCATTTGAGAATCGTATATTTAATGAATCGTGATTAAAAAAAAATCCCAGTACATACTGAAGATGTTTATTGCTACTGTTAGTGCAAAAAGTCGTACGTAAGAATTGAGTTTAATACTCTTAATACTCTATTTCATAAACTAAATTCTAATTGAATATCATTTTTAAAAGAATAGCATTTTATTTGAATTAAACAGTAAAAAATAAAGGAGAACCTTTTCATTAGCATTTAGCAATAAAAATAACTTCTTTAGTAAAAGAAACCAATAGGTAAAAAGGGAAAAACAAAAAACTATACCAAGCTCAGAGCGGGGTACTAGCATAGGTTCCACTTCTTGCCAAGTGTCGAGCACTGCTTCATACCGAAGTACATTTCTTGATGGACCACCATCAGGAAATTCTCCACCAGCTAGATATACGTTATTCTTTCCACATGCAACTATTCCGTGCTTGCTATAACAGTTATAGAATTCATTTTATTGTTGTTTACAATTGTTTTAGAGGAAAAATGTAAACATATTCTTCAAAACCCTATGACAAGTATTAACCAACCCTGTTAAATAAAAAAAAAACAACTGAGCATTGCTATAGAGGTTTATGCCTCTAAACCATACAGATAAGTATATGAAGAAAAAGAAATCTGAAATGCCAATAAAATACATTAATGGGGGAGGTTTTTTCCACTTATTTATTTTTTCCATTTAAATAAATGCATCACAATTTTTTACTTTCCTACCACTACTACGAAAACAAGAGCTTAGTAGAGAACATTGATAAGGTGATTATTCACATTTGATAGTTTTTACTGAAGCAACAAAACAATAAGATAATATTTAGAAAAATGAAAAGACCTTATAGCAAATGGCAAGCATGCTAAAGATTTCCATGATTTGGTAGAGGGAGTAAAACATTCTACAGCCCGTAGCACCACTTTATCATCTTCCCCACCAACAGCAATAATAACCTGCATAAAAATAAAATACATAATTATTAACTGTGTAAAAAAAATCAATAAAAATTACATTTAAAAAGTAAACGAAGTAATACATTGCTAAGAAATTATGTACAGCAATTTAACTAAAGTAACTATCCAGAGCACACTACTTAAAAACTTTAGCTTAATATTATAAAGAGTTCAACAATATTACTTTGGCTCAATAATGAATTATAAATATAATATATTTTTTTTTTATGATTTTAATATTAATTACAACAGCTTAAATATGTTTGCATTACAAGGGATACATATTTCAAAATGGCTGAAGTGCTAACGTTGCTAACAAAGTTGAAACGTTGTCTTGTAAAATGACTATGTTATAAAAGAGATGTTGATTTTTTTTTTTTTCTTCCCTACCTCGCCTTTTAGGCTATACGGGACTTTCCCAGGCCGGAGGGTGAGGGCGGGGAGTTTAAAATTCCCTCCGCCACTGGGATGCGAACTCGTACTTTTTAAATCTTCTCAAATCTGTAATCCAACTCGTGGTGCTGTGCACACGCTTTAGCCCATTCGGCCATCCTGCCCCCCTAAGAAATGTTGATCTAACAGCCTTAGATTTAGGAACAAAAAAATCAATAGTTTAACATCAGTCATCACCTTAATACATGTCCAACTAACAGCTCATTCCTTTTCTACTACAGCGCTCATCTAACAAATCCATTTCTTTCTTCCTAGGATTGAGAGTATTCTAGTCCAAAGTGAACCACAGCAGAAGCACTGCTGATAGATTAACAAATTCATACATTCGTGTGGAAGGGACAAGGGTCACGATGACAGATCTCTTTAGTAAATTGGCAATGGCATACCAAGTGCAGAGAACGATCATTAGATACAATACTATGGGCCCATCAAATATGGTTCCAGTTCTATGGAATACCCAACTGAATCTTGCTCAATGATGGTAGGGAATTCAATAATGCCAAGATTAGAGCTGAAATAAAGAACCTAGATATGGTATAGCACCTTAATATCTGAAGACACTCCAAGAGGTAGAGGAAGTATAGAAAGTTTACACAGTATTCTCAGTGATCATTTGAGGATATATCAAGTAGAAAAGGGGCTGAAACTGGAGAAAACAATCCAGAAGATGGTGCCACCACATAACCATTCTTAACATACCGTCACTGGATTATCGTTAATTTAAATCCTTTATGGGTTGTATGGGTGGTAACAGGATTGTGGCGGTGCAGCAGCAGACAATGAAACAACATGGGAAATAATTAACAATAAAATAGAAATGGAAAAATTATGGAGAAAAGCTCAGGGAAACATAGAAAAAGAAGAAGAGGAAAATTATTGTTTGAGAGGATCTGTTTTATGCGTTTGATATTGGTAACAATAATTTTCCTCTCCATGTCATTAACAAACTTATAACAGACCACAATAATCGCTCTTCCTCAATCTCGACTTCCACTAATTCTCCATAACCCATTTCGGCCTCCATATACAGATCTCTGCCTTATATTCCTAACCTTTCGGACAACATTAACAAAGTTTTACAATCTACTAACCCTAGCTTACGACTTGCATTCAAATCTCACAACACACTCTCTAAATTATACACATCCTTAAAAGATCCTGTTCCTCTCTCACACCGCTCTCATATTGTTTACCGTATTCCGTGTTCTACCCCTAATTGTTTTTCATCCTATATTGGTGAAACCAAAAATCTCCTAAAAGACCACATCAACCAACATAAATATTCTGTATCCTCTCGTAATTTTACCACCTCCAAATCATCCGAACATTATCTCTCCCTTAATAATACATTTGATTTCGACAAAACATCCATCCTTGCTACAGTTCTCAACCATGATAAACGACTCATTTCTGAAAACCTCCACATCCAGCTTCAACCAAAGACAGTGAATTTAAAAACAGACAAACAGAACTGATCTTTAGCCTACTCCCAAATTCTGAATTTATTAAAACATCCATAGTTATATTCCTTTCCTTTTCGCTGACAACTTCCTTATATATATATATATATATATATATATATATATATATATATATATATATATATATATATTTATTTATATATGTATTAATTTCAATTATTCTCCATTATTACTCAACAGTTATTATTTTTGTTTTATTGCCTCTCCAGAATTTCTATCAACTATTTAAATTTATTTATAATTTATAAATTATTTATTTATAATTTATAAATTATTTATTTATAAATTATAAATTATTTATTTATAATTTATAAATTATTTATTTATAATTTATAAATTATTTATTTATAAATTATAAATTATTTATTTATAAATTATAAATTATTTATTTATAATTTATAAATTATTTATTTATAAATTATAAATTATTTATTTATAAATTATTTATTTATAATTTATAAATTATTTATTTATAATTTATAAATTATTTTTTATAAATTATAAATTATTTATTTATAAATTATTTATTTATAATTTATAAATTATTTATTTATAATTTATAAATTATTTATTTATAATTTATTTATTATAAATTTATTTTATATTAAACTATTTTATTGCCTCTTTCTATCAACTTTCGTTTAATTATCCATAATATTTATGAGTAATATATCTCTCGTCCTTATTAAATAACACTATACATCCCTTCTCTCCATCCCCTCCCTCACTAACATGCTCATTGCTTCGATTTACATCTTTGCAGTCAGGTGTGTTTTTCTTTTTCTTTCTTATTCTCTTTCTTATTTCAACCTTCTCAGTTTCTCTTCTCCTTCCTTTTAATCCTTTTCTCTGTTTTAACTCTTTATTATATTATACGTTGTCTGTACATCTTGGTAGACTTTACAACATCTCAATTTTCTATCTAACTATTCTATTTGCAATATCTTAATTTTACTATTTATTTCCATTTCTTATATAACTTCATATTTTTCTGTTTTACATCTTATTCTAAGATTCCCATTCCAATACTTATGTCACCTTTTTGATTATGTTTACTTCATCATTATACACTTTGTACCTGTTATTATTATTTATCTCTTAGTTCTTACTATTGTCATTATTCCAACAACTGCATTTTACTTTAATTTGTATGTTTCTCATACCTTGTTATATGGTTCTTTACTTAGCCCTGATGGCCTGAACTTCAGGTCGAAACGTCGGAAAATGTCAAAATAAGTATTATCATTTATTTTTGCCTTCTTATTTGACTGATCACCCCAACTATTATTCTCTTCATTATTCACGACAGTCAACCATTTACCCACAATTATAAGAAGATTTTCTTCATTTAAAGTTAAAAGATTAAGGAGTGTAAGGTATTATGGACTAAGTTCTGTATTTCCCATTTATAAATTGTTTGGCAATAAATTACCTCATACTAGACTAGCAAAACTAACAAATCAAAATTTGAAAGAAAAGTGATTAAATAACAAAATAAACCAGCAATAATAAAACATATCTAATCCACAACATGCTTTTTACAGAGTTTCTTCTCTACTATATAACTTTTATCTTAATCACACCATGCAAAAGCCATTGAAATTTGAAAACATATCACTTTAACAGATTTTTCTATGAACAATATTACTTGTGGACAGCAAAATAAATAAGGATTAATTATCAAAGAATTGATAAATTGAATAATAACCATTTGATACTACAATTTCTAATACACTATAAATAAAAACAAATCATGAGATTAGTAGTACACTTAATAAAACAACAGATACCAAATGTTAATTTGTATTTTAGTCATATAAGTATTCCACTCATAGGCATTCGAATGAAGGATAATAATCTGAACTCCTGTTGTGACCAGACATGAAATAGTACTATTTATATTCTTACATTTAGTAAATTAATTTTATTCTTTCAAGTCAAATTTAATACTTGAATAACCTAGTCAGATTGTCCAATTAATCCATTACTAAATTTATCATGATTCGTGAGAATTTTTCATATGACATCCTAACAACAATTTGGTTGAAAAAGTGTAAAATAAAAATTAATCTTTAAAAACTACACAATTTTAAATCATTAGTTGAGCATACATACCTACTCTATTCTTTAAAAACCAGGCAATTGAACAAACTGAAATAATGACTAATAATCAATAGAAGATTGACATGTAACCAAGAACTACTGAATGATTTAACTAATTTTCACAGAATTTGGTATGAGTAAAGTAAGCTAACTAAAACTACTTTAATGGCACATTGTTCCATACACCTCCTATGAGTATTACAACAGGATAATAGGGAAGTTTTGAAAAACATTTTGTGCATAAGCTTCTTAACTAAAAAATGTTTGTGGCTGAATCCTTTCCCTTTTTCAGTTAACATCATTAAGAATCTATGGAATGGTGTACACAAGAGCAGGATGCTTTGAGCAGCTAGCATAGATTGTAATTAATCTTTCATAATTAACTTGTAGTTTCAAAAGAAATCATTTCATTATATATTTTTTAATAACAATAAACAGCAATTATATGCAATAATTAAAAGTCTAAATAATCATTTAATATGTAAAGAAGAATAGAACATATATAAAAAAAACCATACCGATCCAAATAAAAAATCATTAAAAACTAATGTTTCATGATATGATTCCTGCCACAATATTAATACTATTACATTGAAATGAATCATGATAACTAAAAATAAACATTACATTAACCAGTCTTATCCATCTATTATAACTCATCAATGAAATAAGCAAAAAATTACAATTTCAAAGCTGACTATGGAAAACAGTTCAAAGGCTTCAAAGCAAGTAACACAATAACAATATAATTCAAAGCAAGTAACACAATAACAATATAATTACATTTTAAAAAATCAATCACAATGATACTATCACAATGACCTGCACTAGATACTAAGAAGGTATTGAATGAATTCGACATTAAAAATAAAAAAAATAATGAAAGCAGTAGAATGGAGGAATAAGTGGCCAATTTAAAGAACAAAGAACATAAATTTCAAATACAGCTTTAGCTTGTGAAATTTTGCAACTACGAAACAAACAAAAAAATTAAAAAAGGATCAAAAGTACCTATCAAATAAGGTCTAAATAACATACCTGAGTTTCTATAAAATGCTAAAGCCTGGAGTGGTTTTTCTAACAGGTCCATAAAAAAAAAAATTAAAAATACTGAAATGAAACTAACTCTCAATACCACGCAAATAAACTGAAATAATCAAGCTTAACAGATTAATATCCAATTTAAATGAGGTAACAGTACAAATATTTTATTCAGTTAAAAGTATTTGATACTTCATAACAAACTACATGTATAAAAAACTTTAAAAGCTAACAGTAAATGAAAAATATCTAATTTAAGAGTGTAAATTAGGTGTAAGGACACACAGCTTCATTAGACAATAGAATAGTCTTATATCAATACTCAATGCCTAAGTCATTTTTCAAGCAAACTAAACTCACCACCATTTTCAGTAACTATTTACTTTTCACTACAAAAAATGTTTACTCTAATCTAATATATAAAATAGGTAGACTTCATAATTAAAAGAGAATAATTTAACAAAATTGCTCAGATATAGATAAATATAAACATACCTGTGTGTAATGAGAAGAGGTTCTCGGTTTGCTTCTATTGAAAGGAAGTTCTGCCCTACGATCTGGCAATAAATGGTAGAGCTTGCCTTCCTCGACTAGCTGCATACATGACGGGCTTTCCTTGACTACAGGCAGGGACTGCACTCGATCTACCAGGAAGTAAGGGTTAATCAAACCAAGTCGAACAGTCTCCAGCACCTATTTGATTTAAAATATCACATAATATTGAATATAAATATGAACAGAAGAAAACAAAAACTATACGATTAATAACAATGCAGTATTTTCTTTATCGATTAGAACATGAATTTAAAAAGTCCAACATTTTTCGGTATAGAGATTAATACCGTTATCAAAATTAACTTTAATAGGTCAAACTAGCAATTTTAAACTTTTTAATTCTTCATTATAATATACCATTAAAAACCTTATAATAAATATTTTATAATGTATTATAAAAGGAGTCATAAAAATTCAGGTGAAATGTTTGATGGTCATAAAAAAAAGTAGATCAGGACGGTATTCCCCAACATGCCAATATTAATGTTGCCACTGTAAATCTACTATCTGCATCCTTAAATTATAAAGAGTTTTATGAAAAAATGAGAGAAAGGAAAAGTTTCCAATTTCATCTATTGAAAATCGGAATTTCTCGCCAAAATAAAGCCAAGAAAACATTACCGCTATCTATCAACAACATTCAAATAACATTTGTTGAAATCCAAGTTTCACTGGTTAGAAATGTAGTTTTAAAAAGATGATTCAATGTACCTTTTTAGCATAAAATAGTCATCAACACATAAAATGGGGATATATTTTTTTTCAAAAATTAATATTTCCTCAAATAAAAATTAATTCATGGTCAAATCGAATATTATAAGTCATAGGTTATATAAAAATAGGCAAATTCCTATTTCTATTTTTAAAATTATAAAAATAAGCTTATTTTAAAATTTATGCTTTATATCTATTATCCTCGTCACTTAAGTAACACTACTGCGCATTTCCTCAATCACATTGCAAAACTTTGATATCAAAAACCTGTTTGATCAGCATTTACAATAATGTAGGAGCTTTATAATATATGAGGTCATCTATATGTTTCAATATCTTTACAGCAATTCTAAGATATATTATTGACTATAAAATTAATAATATTTCTTTTTAATTGAAAATTATAGGCTTTCAGAACCATTTACACCCATTTAGTACTTATAGCCTCAAATATTTATTTATATTAAAAATAAAAAGTATGTTTACTACTATAAAGGTACTTACAATACCTTTGGAAAAAGAGGTTCCCTTTCATCTGGAAAATGTAGATACCATCGGGATACAGCTTTAAATACAATCTCTTCTTTCTCTACTTGGAGTGCATCACTTGTTGTTAGTTCAATTAATTTATCTACAGGAAGGTTAAGAAACTCTTCCCCATGATAAACATCCCAAAAGTTCCTATCAATCAAATTTCAAAATCATTGAAACAAGCTTAATATGCAAATGTTTAATGCTTAAGAACCTTAAGCAGCAAGACAACATTAAAATATTAAACATACGATTTATTCAAGTAATATAAAATAAAGCAGTTAGACATTTTATCAAAGTGCAGCTAATAAAGTACTACGATACAACAGCAGATATTATAGTGACTTAATTTCATATTTTCATACTTTCTTTTCTTAATTTCAGTATTTTATTTCTTCAAAAAAATGAGCTAAATGATTAACTGTTAACACAGTGAATTAGTTACACGTCAACCATCAATAATCTCAAATTATTTGTAATAACAGCAGAATAAAATAACCTACTCAAGAGCATATTCAAGAGACAGGTTTTGAAGTTCTGTACAAGCGTGAACTTCTGCGAAGCAGTGAATGCCAAGGCAGTTTGTAGCATCCATGTGTACACGTAAAAATCTACATGCCGCATCCTTAACAGGTAACACCTGTCAATAAAAAAAGAAATAGCAATGAATAATCTTGATACATAATGTAGGAAAAATCTGGTGCGCGCATCACACAAGTTTCACTTACTACCCTCTTCTTAGTAGAAATACCCTCAAGTCAATATCTCTATCTGATGAAAATAAAAAAAATTATAACTTAATAAAAATATCCTCCAAAACAGTAAAAAAAGATGAGAAATACTAACTATTATAAAGTAATAATAATAATAATACAATTTAACATACTATTACAGTTGAAGAATGACACATTAATGAATGTATCTCATTTTAACAGTATTGATTGGTGAAAATTTTTTGTTATAATTAATTATATAACAACTAAACAAAATAAGTATTTATGTAAAAATTGTAAATCCTATATATAGTCCATCTTCAAAACATCATTTTTTTTTTTTTTCCTATGCCTTGATTGCCTTGAGCCAATTTGGCATGCTATAACATCGAGTAGTATTATACATTAATTTGTAGTCATGTATTACAAAAACCTTTACTATTAAACTTAAAACTAGTCCCAGAAAATCTGTCAACAAACAATAATCAATGAACTAAAAAGGTAAAACATACTGTTATCAATCATACAAGTGGAACGAATCATAAAATCCTACAATACACCGATAATAAAACTGTCCTTGGAAGCAATCATGACGACACTGAAAAACTCACTAAGACTCTGATTAGAGAAGTAGAGAAAATTTATCAACAAGAACATGAAAATGAGACAAAGCATATGATATCACGCTTCTAATCTCGTATCCTCTTTTGACCTCTGCATCCATTACTTCACCAACCTATTTTTTTTCTTATCAGAAAATAATCCATTATAGACCTTTCACTTCTTTCTGGCTCCAATGTGATGTATTTGTGGTTTCTCTAAGTGAAAAGAGAGTGGTATTTGTGATTCTAAATGTACTTCCAACACTAAAACTGAGAACTCTTTCACTATTATTGTAGATGTTGCTTTCGCCAAACTTCCTTATGGCCCCATCCCACTTTTCCTTCTCACAGCCTACTCTGCCATTTTATCTCCAAAAATTATTGGGGTGCCTTTGCAATTGAAAACTTCTTTCCGCGGGGTATTGAAGAACTTTTTTTTTTCATCCTGTCCAGCATTATCATTAGTAGCATATGCTACTATCTAGAACAATTATTCTATCATTAACATATTTCAACCTTCTGACAGAAAACCATAGTTCATTATGGCACAGAAATTCCACTCCACTGGCTGCTCTCTCAACTTCACTGACTCCCGAGAGAATAGAAGAGTATATTCTTGTATTTTATATAACTTGAAAACAAACACAATTCAAACAGGTTGAAGCCATTAATTGAATTAAATTAAATTAATATATTTGCAATGAAAAGTGCTCAACAACTTATCAATCAAATTATAAACATCCGTCTAAAACTTCGTGAATAACTTCATCATATAGTTACCAGCAACTTTTTAAAATACAAAAATTCTCAGAAATGGGACCTTTCCTCATTAAATTATTTAATTCAATTAGGTAATTAAAACTCATGAATACCTATTTCCTTTTCAGTTGAATTATAAGATAATTTGATCACGAAATTGAGAAAAAGTGCCTACTAAAATAATGGGCTGTTTGGCCTATATAACCTCATTATTTTGACACTTCAGGGATAGAGGTCATGCCAAACAGCCCAATATTGTTGTAGGCCACCTTTTTTCTCAATTTAGTGATCAAATCATCTAAAAACTTAAGTAATCAGTAAAAGGGTATTCATGAGTTTTTAATACCTCGTTAAATTCCGAGAATTTTCATGAATAAAAATGTTGTAGGTTATATTAAGAAGAAGCCATTCACAAAGTCTTAGAGCGATGTTCAAAGTTTGAAAAAAAAAGAAAGAAAGATAAAAAAGAGGTCTGTACCGCAGACTATAACTAAAATGTATTTATAAAATTCCAACAATAATAGAAAATTTGGTACAACTTTAAGAGTTGTAATAATTGGTTGACTTGTAATTCAAGATCACACTGAAGTATAATCCAGAAAAAAACAAATTGCATACAAAAATATAAGGAGGCAATTGATTTCCATACCTTCCTACAAATTAAATTATGGGAAGCTTTAATGATGAATTGAAAAAGATGGCTCAACTTGCAGGACCATGATTGGTATGGCTCCAATCTCAACTGAAATTTGGGGTTTGATTAGCCCTAAGGCAAACTTCGTGAGGCCATATCTGGAAATAGTTGTCAATACTAAACTACTTACTTCATTTCACCTACAGTATAATTGATGTGATCTCGACTTACCTGTCAACATGATAATTGTGAACTGGTACCAATCATATATATTTCATCACAAAATAATAGATATCTTAACAATATAATTACTTGAAGAAGATTCGCAGCAGATAATAATGCTTGCACATTATTTTTCGTAATGGTAACAGATGAAGTATAAGCATAATCCAACAATAAGCTGATCATCTCTGGGTCAACATCATGGAGTGTAACAAGGTTCTGTCTAGATTCAGCAAGTTTATTTAAAAACATACCCTGAATAAATTAAAAAAAAAAATAAAACTAGAAATCATTGCTTTGATAACTTAAAAAAAAAAAGAAAAGAAATAATTTGGTACCTTGAAATATGGGCTAAATGCACAGAGTACAGTTTTATGTACAGGAAATCTAAGTCCATCCACAGCAATGACAATATCGCAGAGTTGCCCTTTTTTTCTAAGATCGTTTAGGCCATCTAACATCTAAAATGTAATATGGATATGTTAACATTTGTATGTTCAATTTTTTAAAAGAAACATTAGACCAACCTGGGCAGCATGGGTGTTTTCTGTGAAGACATATTCATTGCCCCTCATCTCTTCCATCAAGTCCATTGATACCGGCTCAGAGTCACACTCACTGTCACTATTTAAAAAAGAACTCAATGGACCACAAACATTTCTACAAGTAACTGCACCACGCCTATTTGTTGCCATAAATGAAAATTCTATCATTATCATTTATCACAAAAAAATTGTTTACACCTTTTCAATAGGTTCAAAAGTGAATTATCCCAGAGGATAATTAAGGCATAGTAATGACAAGTGGTAATAATTTTTAAAAAACACTAATCATTGAATAAAATGATTTAGAACCACCAAGTGATTATGACAAGTCAAGTCAAATATAACCTGTTAGGGTTGTTATAACACAAAGAAACCTCTTCATCTGAGAGCAAAAAATATTAATAGTGTTTTAATCAATAGTCCAGTCATATTAGACTTGTAACTTTGGAAAAGGTCGGGTAATTCAAATTTCTTTTTTGTTAGGTATGCAGTGACTATAGAAAATCCAAGTTTCTGCCCTTGAAAGTTTTGAGGGTTCGCTGCATTGCTGTAAAAACCATTGAAATTTCGAACTTTTTTTGGTTTTCACTAAATATCTCCTTTTTAGAGCAACAAAAGATAAAAAGAATAGATATATTCAATTTTAAACAACTTAAAACTGTATTCGTTTTTGACAATAAACACTTCCAAGTATACAAACAATTAGTTTATTTGTTGAAATTAAAGTTAAATTGACGTTTCGGAAAAATTATTCTCATCTTCAAAACTTAAACAGCAATTAATTTCTAGAAAAGAAATAATTAACTAATTATAGGATTTAAGTTTTGAAGCTTTGAATAATTTTACCGAAAAGTCAACTTAACATGAATTTCAACAAATAAACTAATTTATTGTATACTTGGAAGTTGTTATTGCCTAAAACAAAGAATATTAAACATCTTTCCAACAAAAAAGAAGAATTTAAAATTATCTGTTTGTACATATCATTTTTTTTTTAAACCCAACCGGAAGTGAACTATCGAGATTACAAAATTTGCCAATTTCAAATTTTTCACACCGACATAGTCATAATGCTATGATAATTGTATTAATACTTCATTGTATTAACGAACAAGTTTAATACAATAATTTTATTGTCAATTTTTTTATTTTGTTTCTTTTAAACTTAATCCATTTTGAAAGCTCGATAGTTCACTTCCTGAACCCACAAGGCTTTCATGGTCAGAAACTTGGATTTTTTGTAATCACTAAATACCTAACAATATAAAAAATAAATTTGAATTTGCAAACTAGTCCACTTTTTTTGTACTAATTTGGCTGGTCTACAAGATTTTAGTCCAGTCAATAAATGCTCGAAAAGGGGGTAAAAAAGGATATGGCGGGGACACAATTTTTGACTTTGGAACATTGTTTGGATAAGTAAGGCGGTAAATATACTAAAAGTCCCCACTCCTATGTGGTGAGTCAGATACACCTCGTAGGCCACTTTTTTCGGATTTCGCTCATATCAGTAAAACTATCCATTGCATTAACGAAGACGTTTTATACAAAATTAAATCTGATAAAATTTGTAATTTGATTGACTATATATCTTGTTTCGCTACCTCATTGAAGCCCACCTTACATGGTCAATATCGAATATCTGAGGGGTATATTGTAACAATTATATTGACATTTGTACTGTGTATACAACGTTCAAGAATATTGCTTCATATTATTGATTCAATAATATTGACCGTGTAAGGTGGACTTTAGTATCCGAGATATTCGTCCTCCATTATGCCTAATTTAAAAAAAAAAAAAAATCCGAAAAACGTGCAGCAAAAAGCTCAGAATGTGCAGGTTCGTGTTAAATATGTAAAATTTCCCACTTTACACCTGAAAGTGTGCGAAATCATTTAGTTTATAATATTAATATATCGAAATCCTAACCTTACGTTAGGCTTCCAAATTAAAATATTGGGTTACAAAAAAAAAAAAAAAAAAAAATGCTGCATTGAAAATGACAATCAACTAACGACAACAGTTCATAATCTAATACAACAATGAATTACAATTAAGCTAAATCTTGAAGAAAGAGAAATTTAAAAAAAAAATCAGTACTAAAATAAATAATAGAAAATTTAGAGATAATTCACGAATCTTGGCGTCACAGAATCATTCATCTTCCTCATATTTTCTTTCTTATATTATAAATTTAATATGAACAAGATAATAAAATAAAAAAGTAAATATTTACACACACATATATATTTATAAATCATTTAATCTAGCACAAAATGTACAAAAATGTGCAATTTAATGCAACAAAAATCAAAATTGTGCAATTTCGAGCAATAGAAAATTTAAATATGTTATTCTACAGATCCTGAAACGGATAGATATTCGGGTCCGAGGTTTGTACCCGTAAACGAATAAAATGTGCAATAACGTGGAAATCCTGCCTCTAATTATAACTTATACGCCAATTCCGAGAATTTACAGAAAAAAAATAACTTTTATAATATTCGTCATTATTATATTTCTTTAAATCGCTATGTATCTAAATCTCTAACATAAGGACAGGAGTCGGGCAGTATCAGCCTTAATATCATCCTAGGATGTAAACAAAGCCTTAAATGTATATAAGAAGGATTATGAGGAGTTAGTCGAGGGTGCGGCCAAAAAAATAAAAAAATTAAAATATATAAATAATTTTAATTTTTGCCGACGTTTCGACCCACTTTGCAGGTCGTCTTCAGGGCGTAAGATGTGGCACTGCGGGAGGCAGTTGAAACACTGGATTACTTTATAAGAAGGATTACTTTACAAATAAAGCAGAATTGTTACTGATGCCGAGCAAGTTATTGCTCAACCTCTTTTCTTTTTTTAATTTTTTTTTTCCATAGTCGTATAAGTTCTATGTACATATATACATATACATACATACCTTATGTATAGTATACATACATATATTATAAAAATTATTTTTTTCTGCGAATTCTCGGAATTGACGTATAAAGTTATAATCGATCTAACTTTTGAACCGTTGAAGATAAACTAGTAAAATAATATATATTATTGAAGGAAATTTAATTGTTAAAAACTTTCTTCCACACGACTTAATATTAGAAAGAAGCAATCAAGAGTTAGCCAGTCAAATACAGTAAAAAACATGAAGTAACAAAAATTGTTTAGTACATTAGTGATAGCTAAGAACAGATATCTTGGAAACAAACGAGATAGTGAAAATAGATATAAAATTAATCATATTGTAAATTTTATCAGCTTTAGGTTTGTATAGAATGTCTTTGTCAATGCGATGGATAGTTTTCCTGATATAAGCGAAAACCCGAAAAACAGCAATAAACATGAGGCAAAATTAGCCATAGTTTAGATCGGATATCTCGAAAACTAAGTGAGGAAGTGAAACAAGGCTATGATCGGTCTTATTACAAATTTTATCAGCTTTAATTTTTTATGGAACGTCTTTGTCGATGCCATGGATAATTTTCCTGATATAATCGAAATTCCGAAAAAAGTGATCTTTTAGGCGCCCCTCACATTTGGCTCACCGCTTAGGAATGAAGACTTTTAGTGTTAAAAACCTTACTAGTCCAAACAATGTCCCAAAGTCAAAAATTGTGTCTCCGCCATTTCCTTCTATAATTATTCATTGAGTGAACTACCTATAAAACGATCAGATTCGCTAACTCAGAAATGCGTGATGGGCGGACTTGAACCATTAAGTAACAACTAAACTGCCAGACAATCACTGAAGGTTTATTTCAATATTTTAGTACTTTTTTTTTCTTCTTTAATTTATTGAATACAATACTTTTCTGTGTTTTTGACCTTTGATTGAAGATGTCAATTAGGTAGATAAATAAATATGACTACCAACCTAGAATAAAATTACAGACTACACCTGAAATGAAAAGAACGAAATTGATATTAACATTATTTTTAAATTCTTTATTTCAAAATCAGTTACTGTAAATAATATACAAATATATTACGTAAATAGAGAAGACGAAGATTAATATTTATTTAGAGCACGGGCGGATCTACGGGGGGGGAGGGGGGGGGGCTTACGGGCTGAAGCCTCTCCCCAAAACGCCAAAATATAACCATGTTTTATCGAAAAAAATATTAAAAAACTATCTCTTAAAGTATTATTGTTCGTGTAATTACATTTTAAAGGGCTTTAGGAATCACTTAAACACCATTTCAGACAGGTAGTTAGCTTCTTTATTTTTTCTAAAATAATTATCGTTATTTTTATGAAAAAAAAATCTTTCGGGCTGAAGCCCCCCCTCCCAAAATTAAATCCTGGATCCGCTAGTGATTTAGAGAAAAACAAAACATCATTGTAGGACAGCACAGTTTTCGTTTAGTTTTGTTCGTAGATGCCGAGATTATTTCTTTTAACAATATAACAATATTATACGGATGAAAAAACTGTCAGGATTTGCAGTTACCTGTAATAAGGATTTAAATACCCAAAGAATAATACACCAATTAAGAAAACATAAGTGCAAAGAAAAAAATCACTACGTAGGATTGCTTGTGACATAAAAAAGTCATATTTACAAACATTTATAGAAAAAAATACTTCTTTAATTTTGGATTAAATACTTTCTTTTTTTTTCTTTTTAATCGTTCCATTATTTTACTTTATGCTTTATATGTATTTCTAATACTAAAAAAAAATATTTTGGTATTTTGCATTTATGAAAAAAAAACATACATCACCTTCTTAAATTTGATTTTATTAAACAAAATATCAAATTAACCTTTCTCTCACTTTTTAAATTTACTAATATTAATCAATTAAAAAGCTCTTATACATTAAAGTATTGATTTCATATATAAAGATAAATAATAATCTTAAAACGTTCAGAAACAAGGACCGGAGGGGTAATATTGGTCTAGTGGTTACATCAGAGTTCGATTCCTCTCTACATTTTCCCTCTGAGTGAGCGAATCTGGTAGTTTTATAGACCCTGATTATAATCGTATTGCAATTTAAACTTATTAAAAAAATTAGTGACATTTCATAATATTAAATTAGTAAGAACTTTGGTGAATTTTCTCTTTGTGAAATCATAATAGTGTATACTTCTTGTAATATTTTGGTACATATATTGTGTTTTTTTTTTTCTCGATAAATGACAAGGAATTCACAAAAACTTTCTTAAAAGTAAAGCTCTATCAAAATTGTACTATTTGCAATAGAGTGTTCATAATTGTTGTAAGAAGTACAAGAATCGATCAATCTCATTCAATATATTTTCTTGCATACGCAGTTATATTTTTGAAATAAAATTTAGATTTGTTTTACAATTATTTTAATTGTGTTATATTGATATTTTATACTTAGCTTTTGTTGCTTTATAGAAGAATAAATTGCAGTTATTACTTTGATTAGAGTATGATTATTATGTCCTTCTAAAACTATGATGATAAATAAAACTATGATTCATTTAAACAGTTCTAGGTGAGAAAATTAAAAATTTTCGCGTCACTGTTTACGTAAGGCGGATCTACGGTGAGGGGAGCTTTCGAGCTGAAGCCTCCCACTCCACACAAATTGGTAAAATATTGCCCTGTTTTAAGAAAGAATGCTAAAAAATCCATCTTTAAAAGTATTATTGTTTGCTTAATTACATTCAATAGTACTTCAAGAATCACTTAAACACCAAAAATATGGAGGATACTCTGCAGGTAACACGTACTTACTAATGAAAGATGTCAAATTTGGCTGATCCAAGAGCTATTTTATCACCCAACGCTTTCACTCGAACCCTATTAAATCTCGTTTTTGGAAGCATTATTTCTTACAAATCTTACAATACTGTATACAGAATCTACAATGAGACAGTAGAAGTTTATTGAAATGAAAAAAAGGTAGAAAAAAGCATATCCTGGCTAGTCACGAAAGCTTTGGATAATTTATGTGTCCAATTGAAAATAATTTGGAAAGTAAAGTGATAACTTCAAGGTCAATAAAATTAACTCAAAAATAATATTATAAAATTAAATTCCCGTAATTTTATAAACCTTGATTAACTCGCAGCTCTTGATCGACAGAGATGTCGGAGTTTTTTCTAGATTTCTAGACTCTATTACATGAAGGAGTATATCGGTAGGACAGATGAATATCAGAATTATGTTAAGAATGTGTTAGAAGATTAATATCATCTAATTTATATTTTAAACACGAACAAATTTTTACTGAGTCTTTTCGACGAATTATGATACTGGAATAGTATTTAAATGACTTTTCAAATCGTTACTATTTCTCGTATTTAAACCGCATATAGTTAACTATGGTTTGGATTTTAAATAAACTTTAAACATGATCTGGGCTCAATAAGAAATGCAATATTCAACAAAAATTATACTAATTCAAAATTTCCATTTTCGTTCATATTTATATATGACTAAAATAAATGCTATTAAGTAACATTGATTAATACCTTTTTACGCTCATTCGTTCAAATCTACTAGTACTTTTTTAAATATCTTCCAGTTATAAACTCACAGAACTAATTTTGACATCTAAAGATATTATAACATGTGAGTAATTTTTAAAACTCATAAAAGGTTAATGAACCAATGATACTGATAACACAAATCAATTCTTAACAGTAACATTAAATTGCTAATTGCAAGCTGAAGACTTTTACTCAATAAGATGAAATATTCTAACTTTTAAAACAAGTAATTATTTTTAAAATACATTAAAGAAGAGACAATTCATGCAACAACAATAATTCACATATTTTTCTTAAGGTATGACCACACCCATAGCAAGCATTTGGCAAAATGAAATTCATCTTTGTAATTATCCAATTTTTAAAGCCATTTACGACAGACAATGCTTATTTCAAAAACGTCATCTTTTTCATTCAGATTAAAAATAAACTTTGACATGCAAATTCAAACGCGGTCTCACTTTATTTTTGAGTGAAATGAAGTGATTAACCGAATTCGTTACTAATAGATACGAATGTTTTAAACTTTAATATTATTATGAGCAAAAATAATGATTTTTTTTTTAAATATTTCTTCTGTTACAGAAATAAATTTAATTCTAAACAGGTTCATTCAGTGTTTCTCTTTTTTTTTTCCATCGGTATCGCTATCTCCCCCCTACTAAATTGTAGTAGAAGATATCTTCCCATGTATTTGTTTAATCTAGATTGTGACAGTTAACAGCACCTATGTAATGAAAAACGTTATTTCAAGTAAACAGATTGTTTCTAAACACGTCATCTGCTAGTTTCTACATACCTGATCGAAGAGTAATAATAGTCGTGTCTAATAAAGGTTTCCAAGACATTTGAGGTTGAACTGTGCTATAAATTAAGCCTTTCGGTTGGCATAATTCCCTCAAGGGCTAGTGGATACAATCCACTATTGGACTCAGAAGACCGGAGGATCGTTAATCCCCACTAATGGATTGTATCCACTAGTGGGGATTAACGATCCTCCGGTCTTCTGAGTCCAGTACACAGCGCACAGACATAACAGAACAGTACACTATTTGCAAACACTGAAAGTAAGGACAAATACAGTACACAACCCAGGATCGCCTCTCAACCAAGACTCAATGTTGGGAGTATAGGCGGCAACCTGTTGTCCCTGGGCAAGAGAGCTCCACCAGTGGGCCAATCACACGTTTTGGAGTATAAATGATTCAAAGGAACTTACGCAGCCTCGGATTTGGACAGTCTAACGGTTACGGATAAGGCAGGGATAAGGAACTACGATTTACCACTTGGATTATAAGATCACTCACAGAAAAGAAAAAGGGATTAGTGGAAGAAATTAAAACGCACAAAGTTGACAAAGTTGGGGCAATGTGAAGTGAGGAAAAGAGGAAGTGGACATCAAACATTACCTGATGGGTATAATATAGTGTACTGTGGTGTCGATGTGAGTGATAGAGCAAATGAAGGAGTAGCATTTGTGATAGGGGACGAAATGTGAATGAGGGTTGAATTCTGTCAAAACATTTCATCAAGGATCATTGCTATAAATATAGAGTTGTCAATCGGTAAAACTACTGTTATACAGGTATACACCCCGGTAGAAGATGCAGTAGCCTTTGATAAAATTCAGTTCTATGAAGATCTCCAGAGGACAGTGGATGATGCTAGGAACAAAGGCAGAATGATAATGATAAGCGGGGATCTTAATGCTAGGACTGGAAACAATACAGTGAATACACATGAAGTGATAGGTCCGTGGAAAGGAGAAAGTGTGCTCAATTGTAACGGCCAAAGACTCATATAATTCTCTATAAAAAATAATATGATCATAGGAAAATCTTGGTTTAATCATAAAACGACCCAAAAGATCACCTTTGAGAGTGGAGACGAACGAACCATGAGGAAAAGTATTGTTGATTATTTTATAATCGATCGGGACCAAAGAAGGGTCTTCACTGACATAAAGGTCATAAGGGAGACAGAACTAAGCACTGACCACAAACTACTTATAGCGGATACAAAAATAATCAAACCTAGAAACAGATTCAGCAAATCATATGATAGAATTGATTGTGTTGTGGGCGGGATGTCCGAATAGGCTAACGCGTGTACACAGCACCACCGTTGCCCGGCAACCTGATATATGAAACAATGGATTTAAAATAGTCACGAGCTCCCGGTTTCAATGCGTCATTTAAATTCCCCCCCCCCACACCCTCTGGCCCGGGAAAACGCCGTATAGCCTTAACGGCGAGGAAGTGGTAGACACCACCCTCCTAAAAAAAGATATAATTGATGTTACCAAGCAAAAAATGGAAAATAAACAAGAATACCGGTCACTGCTCGAAAGTCGCCTCCAAGAAGTAAACGGGGAGAATATGCTGGATAACCTCTGGAATTAAATTGAGAACTGCATACTCAATACAGCAAGTGAAGTAATGTGGGCAACAAAAAATAAGGCCCCATACCATGAAAACAAGATGGTGGTACGATGCTCTCAAAAGAAGTGTCAAGCTCAAGGAGTCCTGGAAAACTTAAAATAGAGCTAAATTGCCTATACATTGGGATGAATATGTCAGAAACAGAAATGAGACTAATAGAATAATCAAATTAGCTAAGAAGAGGACTTGGGAGAAGTTGGTCAAGAGCTTGAACAAAACTATGGAAAGGATATTAGGAAGTTCTGGTATATTACGAAAGTCTTGAAGGGTAAGAGATCAAAACCGGTCAGGAACGTTAAAGACATGCATGAGAAGTTGGTGACTGAAGAAAAGGAAGTGCTGGAGGTCTAGAGGCAGTTCTTCCAGAGAAAATTTAGAATGGAAGGACGTCTTCATCATAACTACAGAGACCGCGGAAGGAGAGGTAGACTGGATGAAAATTACCATGAAGATATGGACGATGCGATCGGAGAAGACGAGGTGGAGTTGGCTGTCAACAAAATCCAGCTAGAAAAGCTAGGACTCCAGGATCAGATGACATAGTTCCGGAATTTATAAAATATGGAGGCAATAAAATTATTAAATGCTGTTCCAGAATATTTGGAACCTAAAGTTGCTGCCACGAGAATGGGAAAACAACATCATAATCCCAATTCACAAGTAAGGTAACCAAAGCGAATTTGATAACTATAGGCCAATATGCATAATGTACAAAATATACACTAGGATATTAGAGCAGCGGTAGCTGGGTTTTGTGGAACAATATATTGAAGAAGAGCAAGCGGCTTTCATATAAGGAAGACAGACCCAAGACCACATTTTTTCCATGAGAATGATAGTAGAAAAAGCGTGAGGCCGGGGAACGGCCGTCTACTTGGCATTCCTGGATCTGAGGGCGGCTTTTGACTCAGCCCAGAGGCAGCAAATATGCGGCACACTAATAACAAAAATAGTGCCAGCAAAGTTCGTGAGTGCAATTAAATCGGTGCACCAAGACCCAAAGTTCATTGTAAGACTTAAGGGTCAGACATCGCGGTCCCTTTCCACTTTTATAAGGGAGTAAAGCAGGAAGACAGCCTAAGCCAACTACTAGTTATCCTATTTATGGATGAAATATGGAAGGTGTGCAAAAGGAGATACCCAAGAGCAATAGTAGGTTTTAGGAATCTAATTTCAATACTGGCTCAAGCAATGATATATGCGGATGATATCGTACTGATAGCTGACTTTGAAGAGGCTCTTCAGGTATCTTTGGATGAATGGAATGAGGAACTGAAGATAAGAGGTTTACAAATAAATCCTAACAAACCCAAAATCATATGTGTCGGAAGAAGAAATGCAGAGCCTAGGATTTTGTGTAATGGTGAACCCATAGAACTAAAGAATACTTATACGTATCTAGGGACCATAATAAGTAAAAATGAGAAAATAAACTCATGATAAAATCGAGTGAAGAAGGCTAATGGATTGTACCATCAGATTTCCAAAACTATTTTAGGCAAGCAAGAAGTAGAGAGGCCAAAATACGAATATTTAAATCCGTATTCCTCCCAGTTCTCCTATATGGATCAAAAAGCTGAACAGCCCTCGACAAGCACACAGGTAGGATAACATCTGCTGAAATGAGATTCCTCCGAAGAATAGTTGGTAAGACCAGGAGAGACTGCTTCAGAAATGAAAGAATTTGGGAGGAACTGGGTGTTAAATGAGTGCGCGACACCATGCAAGAGCGGAAACTAAAATGGTATGGAAATGTCTGTAGAATGGACGATGCCAGAAAAGCCAGGTGGTTTTTGGAAGCTAGGCCGGAAGGAAGACGGCTTCTTGGCATATCCAGGTGCATGTAATCTGATTTCATTGGAAAAATGGGGGCAGCAAGAGGACGAGACATCCCGGAGATGTGAAGACTAGCCAGGAACAGGGACCAGTAGACTAGATGGACTGAAACTGCAACTCCTCGCTTGACGGTACACAGGAATTAGAGGAAGAAGAAGAAGGTTGACAGAATGAATAACTCCTAATTCACAATCTTCCAATAAAACGGTTGTAGTGTTTTTCGTTGATAATATTTTAACTTTTTCTAAATCATTAATAGTTGATAATTGATGGTAAATATTTCTGTCATACTTTCGAAAAAAAAAAGAGAGAAAAATAAGACATTTCCTAAAGAAGAAACAGAAATATAATTGACATTAATTTAATGAAAAAGAAGAAGTTAAAATTGGAGTTAATCATTCTGTCAACTGAAATGCTAAATTTTAAGAAGGCCATTATAAACGTAATTAGTTTATTTTTAATCTCTTGTAAATTTGAAAGAATTTTTAAGCGTTTTTGGAATTTATAAATTTAAATAAAAAAGGATGTTATTTGTTCGAGAGCTTTAAAAACACTTGTTAAACTGTTTACAAATATTGTGAGGAAGTATGGAATTCAGTTTAAGCGTCTGGATATTACTTAACATATCACGAGTTAGGACAAGTTGTACACGAAGAGATTGATTTCAATAAAAATAAAACATTTTATATTAATTGGCTTTTTTTTTCTCAACAATATGTTTCGAACATTGTATAATGTCCATACTTTATCGTTAATATTTAATTCGCTATTAAATGTGACATAAAGGGAAATGCTAGGAAGTAATAAAGACTTATTAGGTTTTAGTACCTCCTTGGAAATTCAAAAGTTATGTCAATACGTAGGTTACAATTGTCAGAGAAAAATTTCATCATTTTTGTAGGCTCTTTTAATTCAAATCAGTCATTCAGCACTTAAGGAATTATTCTTTCATGAAGAACCTCTATGAAAGGGTATGGGTTCACGAGGAACTGAGCAAGAATTATGTAGAGCATGTTCAGCTTTCAAATCATGGGCTAAAGCACAAAATACTGCTCAGAAACAAGAAAAGGTATTTACTTTCTGTTTACTTACGGCTAATCTTGGTCTGAATGTTGCTTAAAAAAAGTTTGGTTTATTCAAGAATGCTGATTATTGCTAATAAATAACTTATTTACTTAAACTTCTTTTGGCCACACTAAACTGTTATTTAATGCTCATTCATGCTTGTCTCCTTCCCATTTATTTTTATTTTTGTTTTTTCTCAATGAAACATTATAATAGATTTTAGATTAGATAGATTAGACTCGTCTAAAATGTGGATATCTTTATTGTAATCAGCCACATGTCCACGGTTTATTGCTTAAGGTCATTAAGTAGCATATATTAAAATTATATCACTCAGTACTGTGAAACCAATTCTTACCTTCAAATATATAAAATCAATCCAATTATAAAGTCTCCTGTAAAATCAGAACATTCACCGCAAGTTATTTATCTTTCAATACTAGTATTCATTCTTACTAAAATATATGAGGATAAATTTTGATACTAATTGCGAATCTTTATTTCAATTTGGAGGCTGATAATAATGACATGTCCTGACTTATAAAAAAAACATTAAAAAAACTGTACCACTACAACTCACGAAGGGTCTTGATTTCAGTACTATTTAGGGAAAGTACTGTTTCAAGGCCAATGTTTGTGCAGGGAGAGGGTCAGGATCAGGCTCAACCGCCATGGTTTCCTCCTTAATTAATTGTATAATTAAAGGTGCCCACTTTGTAGAGGCTAGCTGTGCCCCAGAAGGGTCTCCCTACCCCAGGGTCACCCCATGGCCAATGAAAAATAATAAATAAATTTTCTGCCATGAGCCGGGATTCGAATTTAGGACTTTCGGCATTGGAAGCTTAGCACTCTACCACTGAGCTACCCCACTCCCACCTGACTTATATGATTCTACTAATTTATTATTGTAATATTAATAATAATAAATCAAAATACCCAGCATTAATTATACACTGACAGGCAAAAAATTCCACCCACTTAGTTTTTTCATGTTTTCATCTAAAAGTATTTCTGCTTTGGATTGGTATATTGTTTTTATGAATAAATAGGATATCATTTTGTTTGTTTTCAATTAGGAATGTTAATATAGGGGACAATAACCCTTAATCCTTAATTCAATGAAATGATTCTAGATTCCAATGTTTACTTTCTACTATGGAATCATAATGTTTATTCAGTATCATTAGCTCAGTGCCGTTTCTTGCAGCACATTTCTTAGTCTCCGGCTTTTAGTTTTTTCAATATTAAGTTTAAAATTACCTCTTAGTGCTGAGAATGTTGCACATGGTGTGGCACTTATTGATGATGGACGTTTCATTAGATATGCAGCTAATGCCATCGGAGTCCAATATGAAACTTCAAGAGACGCCGTCAGGCGTTTTTGGGAAACTGGTTCTTACAATAGAAGGCCCGGCTCTGGACGGCCTACGGTAACAGAACCACAGGATGACCGGTTTTTGACATTGAGAATTTTACGAAACCGGCACCTTACCGTTGTTCAAGCGATTCATCAGTTCGAAGAAGTTCGAGGTGTACAAATTTTTGAACGTACCGCTCGGATAAGATTAAATGAGTACGGATTAATTGCTTTTCGTCCAGTAAGAGGACCAGAGTTGACCAGAACTCATAGAGTAACACAGCTGGCTTTTGCTCGAGAATACAGCCATTGGACTATGGACGAATGGAGTGCTGTACTTTTTACAGATGAGTCAAGATTCGCTCTTTGATCTCCAGACAGGCGTGAAAGGGTGTGGAGAAGAAGAAACGAAAGATATGCAGCCTGTAATTTTTCCCAGAGCCAACCTTTCCAACGTGGTTCCTTAATGGTGTGGGCTGGGATTTCAATGGAGCGCCGCACAGAATTGGTTGATGTTCGTGGAGGGTCTTTGACGGCCATTCGCTATGTAGATGAGATTTTAGAACCTCATGTGTTGCCTATCCTCAACGATATCGGCGATCGTTCTATTCTAATGCACTCCCACATGTTGCCCGCATAGTGCAGACGTTCCTTCAACAGAACAATATTGAGGTTTTAGCCTGGCCAGCATGTTCTCCAGATTTGAACCCCATTGAGCATTTATGGGATAACCTCAGAAGACAAATAAGAGCACGTGCAACACTTCCTGATACACTGCAGGACCTTGAAAGGGCTCTTCGGGAGGAATGGGCTATCCTCCAGCAAAGGGGCATTTCCCAACTAGTGGAAAGTATGCCGAGACGTCTTCAAGAAGTAGTGAAGGTAAGAGGAGGAAACACGCGCTTCTAAAAGATGATGTAATTAATTTCTTTTAGAATAAAAATAGTTCGTTTTGGAATCTTGGAAACATTGGAATCTAGAATCATTTCATTGAATTAAGGATTAAGGGTTATTGTCCTCTATATTAACATTCCTAATTGAAAACAAACCAAAAGATTATCTATTTATTCATTAAAAACAATAGACCAATCCAAAGCAGAAATATTTTTAGATAAAAACATGAAAAAATCAAGTGTGTGGAATTTTTTGCCTGTCAGTGTATATTGTTTTATATATTTAAACAAAACAAATATATCTGAAAATGATCATATTATGGCTCTTGTAAGACTTATCTATAATAAAAAAATAAATGGGAGTAATGAAATTTTTCAGGAAATTAAAAATTAATTCTAAAAAAGTATTCCATTCCTGTTTATGAAATTATCAAGCCAACCTTTACTGGTATTAAAGTATACTTTGTTATTCTTCTTAAAAAATTATTAAAGAAAATCTTTGCCTTTTTAGTGAATATATATCCAGAAATTGGCCCTCCTCATGACTTCCGCTGCATATTGCATAAACCACTCATAAAATCCTCATAAACCACTATTGCATGAAGCAGTTGCAGTAATATGTACTAAGAAACAGAGAGGAATCACTGTTCAGTCTCTGCTTCACTTATACCATTTCCATCTGACTCATGTCACTCATCCATCAACTTAAATTGTTTTTCTTTCTTGTTCGGATTAGTAGAGGTTCAGATTATCGAGATCGTTCTGTATGTACATTTCAATAATAAATATTCTATATTTGTAATGCCATTACAACAGGTAATGTTTTATCGATTGGATAATTAGTAAATCAGCACTTTAATTAAATAAGACAAATTGATTTTTGAATGTTTGGATTTGAATATGTACTTGAGATTAATTGTTTTTCTATTATTTAATGTTACTTTGATTTAAGTATCTTTAAATCCCTCTATAATACACTCTTGAGGTATATTGATATACCTCTAATAGATATGTATAATATAGTCAGAGCAGATTGACCTACAAGCAAATGAAAACAAAATAAAATACATGATAATAAGCTGAAAATTCCACCCCAATAACAGGATATGCGTAGAATGAAAATCATTCCCGAGAGTAGAAAAATTCAAATACCTTGGCTCCACAATAACCTCAATGAATGACTAATGGGCATTTATAGTACCTTTTTGATAAATGAGTTATATTCAACATTTCTAAGTCTGTGGTTTATGATAATTAATTATATAATACCTTATATTTATAATTCATTGTTGAGCTTTCTATAATTTATTAATTCTGATTAACTATTTTGTTGTCAGTATAGTTTGGACATAAAAAAATATTTTTTATTTGTTATTGGATTCTCTTTATTTTTTACTTTTACATGATATCAATTTTAACAATGGTTCTTTTAAAAAATTTTCCACAGGTTGAAGCTTCTCCATCAAAAAATAAAAGTTGTCCATTAGACATAGAAGAATTAGGTAATTAATAATTATTTTATTTCGTATATACATTTATATAATTATTGATAGTAGGAATACTATTATAGCCGTCAATTACAGAAATTATCATCCTACAGATTTAAATTATTAGAAGAGCTTTGTAAAGGCTACCACAAGTCATGTATGACAGGGCTGTCTAGGGGTTTTATTGATGAATTTTTCATACACAATATATATGGTTGTTCATAATACAAAGAGATACATGCTCTGTTCAGCTACATTATAAACTGCTTATAGGTAAAAATATATTGCATAGGTCCGATTCCTAGACATATCCTATAAGACAGCCATGTTGTACATGGCTCATTTTAACGTAAATAAACCACAAACTTTTCTACAGGTAGGTCTAGTTGGAATATGCTCCATACAATGGCAGCTTATTATCCAGAGAAACCAACCAAAGAACAACAATCTGATATGAAGATATTCTTTTATACATTTTCCAATTTCTATCCATGCCATACTTGTGCTGAGGACTTTCAGAAGGAGTAAGTTTATTTATCTGTTATGGCTTATATCCTCTATTTTTTTGTTTAGTTTTTCAATTACTGCACTTACATTAAATATTTTGTGGGTCTTATGACTACCACTCATGGTTGCCTCCCATATTCAATGTATGAAGCTACCAGCCAACATTTTGAGCAGAGCAGCACTGGGTACCAAGGCCCGGTCTAGCGTTGTTGTATATCTTTGCTTTAAAGATTTATAATGGATAATAAAGAGTTGCAAAGAGCAAAAAGAGTTCACAAAAAATGGCAGAATATTAAAGGATAATATAAGTGGCAATAAATGCACTTATAAGGATCCAAAGTGCCAAACATTAAAAAAAGAGTGCGATTTTTGCCTGGGGGATACTTCAGATAGACAGCTCTTTCTAGTAGGTTCCCTCATAGGTTTTGTGATCCTCAGAAATTGGTCAACCACTGAAGTAAAAAATGACAGTGAACAGGAGGCAACTTTTATTGCATTGAGCCATACTAGAAAATCACAATAGGTATGAAGCAATTGTGATTTTCTAGTATGGCTCAATGCAATAAAAGTTGCCTCCTGTTCACTGTCATTTTTTACTTCAGTGGTTGACCAATTTCTGAGGATCACAAAACCTATGAGGGAACCTACTAGAAAGAGCTGTCTATCTGAAGTATCCCCCAGGCAAAAATCGCACTCTTTTTTTAATGTTTGGCACTTTGGATCCTTATAAGTGCATTTATTGCCACTTATATTATCCTTTCATATTCTGCCATTTTTTGTGAACTCTTTTTGCTCTTTGCAACTCTTTATTATCCATTATAAATCTTTAAAGCAAAGATATACAACAACGCTAGACCGGGCCTTGCTACCCAGTGGTGCTCTGCTCAAAATGTTGGCTGGTGAGTGAACCATTGAGTACTAAGCATTAGAGGAATGGAGATGAATGCACAACATATTTTTTATGAGGCCCTAGTAGGCCCCATGATATGTTGAGGACATGATGGCAAGCACGGTAGGCAAGGGTCATGGAGAATCCCGTTTTGAATGCTATTTTTTCAATTCTTACCTAGGCCAGTTAGTATTACCTTGGATTACTAGTGAAACCCTCTAAGTAAAATAATCAATTTTCTATATCTTCTCTTGGCCATAAAAGTGACATCTTTCAACTGATTAAACCGACTTGTTTTATTTAATAGAGTTGGCTATTATATAATCGTGGATTTGACGAGTAAGTGCCTTTAATAACAATATAATCTTTGTATACTTAAATAGAATTTGATCACCTTATTGTTGTTCAACATTTAATATTTCCTTTGTAATGGCATGCAATTTCATGTGTTTTTATAATCAAATGTTTAGTTTAGTATTCAAATTAAGCTTAAGTAATTTTAATTTTTTTTATACCCTCACAATGCAGTAATTAGTTCAATCATGTTCTTCATAAATATTTACAATCATTTTGTTGTCATTTAACAGGTTTCTATAAATTTCTTTTTTTTTTCATTTAGCTTGAAGGAAATGCCTCCAGAAACACAATCAGCCGAGAAGTTATCACAATGGCTTTGCAAGATGCATAACCGTGTCAATGAAAAACTGGGGAAGCCAATCTTTGATTGTAGTAAAGTATTTGAAAGATGGAAGGACGGGTGGAAAGATGGCTCTTGTGATTAGTAGTATACTCATTATTTAGTCAGTATTTGTAAATATTATCTGTTTAGTTTGTTGATTATTGACTTTTTCAAATAAAATTTAATATTTCTTGTTGTAATGTTTAAAACATTTCTTGTTTTTCATCAATTATTTATACCTTCTATAATTTATACATCAACCTTATATTTCCTTTTTAGTCACTCAACAATCTTAATTATTTTTATTTCTATTATAAAAATAAAGTGCTTATAAGCAATCAGTTAGAAAAAAAATTGCCATTTTGTATCATATTTTATATTATATCAATCATAATACATATTTTTTGCATTCCCATCAATGGCCAATACATTTTTATTCTCTTGCTGACTTATAATTTTTTTAAGAACAGCAATTGGAACTGAGTTTAGAAATAATGATTTCTCTCTAACAACTTATCATACATGATGGACTAAAGAAAGATAAAATGAAATGGACCAGGAATTTGAATACAGACAATAGAAGCACTTTTTTCAAGAATATTATATTTTCTATAGATTTTTGATGTAGACCCATCGTGCCCAATTTCCATGGTAGTCAGAGACTACCGAGCCTACCCCACCCATGAGATAGCCCTGTGTAGGTGTTTTATGGTTTGTGGAGGATTGTCATTAATTAGGGAAATCCCAGAGGAAACAATCTGAGTTATATAAAGCAGGCGAACAAGCTTACCAAAAAATCACAACAGCTAAATAAGTTAGAAATTTGACTGACCATTTTCTTTCAAACTTCGTTTTTATTTTTGATGTTCTATTGTAATATTTATAATAACTCATCAACAGAATTTTATTTGTTTAAAAAGTATAGGTTATTGCCTTAAAATTTTTGTATTTAGATTAGCTGAAAAATAAATGAGGATAAAGTAATGAAAATTAATGGAATAAGTCAAGTAGCTAGATATTTTTCCAAAAAAAAAAAAAAAAAATTACTATGAATTCAAATAAGTAACAAATATGTTGAAAAATATGGATGTTCTTAGCCTATATTTTTTATGTCAAATGGAAAATTAGACTACCGAAAACTGATATTGTTCCAAAAAATGAGAAATATTTCAATAGATAAAATTAGAAAGCCGCTCAAAAATGGCATCAGTTTTGTAGAGCCAAGCAAGTATCAACAAAAAGGGTAGGAGACAGATAAAAGTACAAACGGGTTGTACTTGATACACACTGAAGATTAGATAATTTTATCTGATATCTGATAAGTATTCATACTTGCGCTACGGATTGATACCTAATAATTGTATTGCATTTTTTTATCTGATACCTGGACTTGATACACTGAAAGTTAGATACTTTTATCAGATACTCGAGCAGTATTCAAACGTACTAGGGCTTGATGCCCCAATGATTGTATATTTTTTTTTTTTATCCGAACATCTATTGTTCATAATTCAGTAATTGATTACTGATCGGGTTTGATATTTTTAATAAAACATTAAATTAAATATGAACCTATGTATATTTTATTCCTTTATTATTAAATTTGCGCCTGTAATAATTACTTTACACTATTTTTAAATTTAATAATTTTAATGACTATATAGTTATGCAAGTACTATGGAGATATATACACATTTTTTAAACAAAATATGCTTTATATTTAACAAAATAATGCAATATATTTGATTAAAAATAGAAATATAACAAATTCATACAAAGTAAAATTTTTCCTGTTATATGAGTCTAAAGAAGTTTGTAGCAATAAAAAAAAACAACGCAGGTTTTTCATTTTTTTATCCTTTATTAACTTATCAATTTCTTTCAAAAGTTATATTTAGCATTTTTTCGTAACTGAACAATTTGAAATGATTAACTTTTTAAAATAAACCATATTAAAGATACTTTAGAGGAAGACGTATTTGAACGTTGGTCATTTAAGCCCTGTAAAGTGACATCAATGGGGATAAGACCTAATTGATATTAAAGACCACTTAATTATACAATGATACACCGAGTTTAATCAAAATCGTTAGAGCCGTTTTTGAGAAAATTGTAAAAATGTGTTTCAGCGTTGATATAAAGTGGTACTTCCGGTTGGACGATTTTAAGAAAAAGGTTGCAGCGACATCTGAGGCATATAACTATATTAAATATATAATATCAGTTTCGTAGGACTTTTCTTTTTCGAGCTAGAGTGTTCACAGACACACAGACCATTTTTCGGGACTTGGTTATTTGGACTCAGGGTAACTCAAAACGTGTACTTCTGTTGAAAATTCAGATTCAAAAATTTTCTCTATCGCAATACGTCAGTGAAAAGTAAAAACTCCTTATAACTCAGTCTAACACGCACACACACACACACACACACACACACACACACACACACACATACATACATATATATATATATATATATATATATTATATATATATATATATATATATATATATATATATATATATATGTATATATACATTGAATAATGAACCATAATATTAATTTAATACTACTCCAGACCACTAGCGGATCCAGGATTTCATTTTTGGGGGCTTCAGCCGGAGGAAACTTTTTTTTTTTTTTTATATAAAGGAAAAAACGAAAGAAACTAACTATCTATATGAAATGGTGTTTAAGTGATTCCTTAAGTCCTTTTAAATGTAATTACACGAACAATAATATTTAAAGACATAATTTTTTAATATATTTTTCCATAAAACCTGGTTATATTTTACCATTTTCGGAGAGGGACTTCAGCCCGAAAGCCCCTCCCGTAGATCCGCCAGTGCTCCAGACGCAAAATAATAGGAAAGTAATGACAAAACTACTGACCCATTTGTATCAGATGCAAAAAGGTACCATTATCAGTTGAATCTAAATGTAAAAATTCTGGTATCAACCCATCCCTACTAGTAACCATTTTAAGTTCTACATATCCCTCATCATATATTGATAGTTGGAAGAGGAAAAAATTAAAATAATAGGATTATCTTCGATTTTTTTGGGATGCTGAATCTGAATTTGATGTTCCCGAGCGAAATTTTCTATTGCGTTTCGAGAAATATGCAAAAAACAGCCAAATTTCAGAAATTTGTTTAGTTTATTGGACATGTATACAATACAAGTTGGATTATCAACCTTGATTTCAAAAATCGATCCCTGCTGTTAGCTTTTGTTTTAATGTTTTGAGGTTATCTGTTAGTGATTTCACAAGCCAAGTAACAGAAACATTAATTCTTAAAAAAAAAAAATTAAAAAAATGATTGCCACAACTAATATCGCCTCTCCTAATTCTTGCACTAAAAGGACACAAAAGTATTAAAGCTCGTATTTGCTACGTTTAAGTACTCGATTTGAATTGCAATGTTACTATTGAAACTTCTTTTATATATTAGTGTGTTTACTTGAAATATGGAATGTTTCAGATGAATACACGGCTCTTAAGTAACTGTAAGGCCTGCGTGGCATTCAAGCGATGGATTACAGAGAGAAAATCGGATAAGGTAAATAACTAAACGACTCAACTTATCTATAAGATGGATTCACCTGAGATAACATTGATAGTAGGGCTTAACCCAGAGTCAGTGTCACCTTAGGGCAGGACAATCGCCCCGTGGCGCCGGCAGATCTTCAGGGACGCTTGCAACTTAAAAGCATTAATTTTAGCCTATTAATAAAGCAACTGTTCTAGAGTTGTGTTGGAGTAAATGAAATTCAAATATTACATAATATAAAACAGCTTAAGAAAGAAATTTATTTTTTAGGGGAGCAGATGACGTCATTGCCTGGGGGGGGGGGCGCCGAATGTCTAATGGCAGAGTTTATGTTTATCAATCAGGGATATATCAATTATTTATAACCAATTTATCTAGATCGGATTGGTACATTATGTGGTGCACTTAAAAATGTATACATTTAGCCAAAAGAAAGTTTAGAGATCAAGAGACAATTATAATAGGTAATCTAATGGATTAATATTTTATGAATTCTTTATCAAAGATAATTTCCATTGCGTGTTGATTATTTAAAATGAATTATGAAACATTGACTAGAGATTTGATATTCTTAACAATTTATTTCGAAATATTTATCCTTTATTTGCTTCGACAAAGCAGTTCAACCTCACTTTTATAGCTTAAAAGTGATTGAAGTATTAACTTTTTAACGAAGAGTAGGCAGTGGCGTATCCAAGGGAGGGGAAACGAGGGAAATCTACCCTCCCAAAATAACAAGACAAAAAAAAGTCTTTAAAATATACCGGTTAGAATCGGTAATTGTAAATAACTATGGAGGATAACCTCTGGATTCACCATCGGTGAGATCAGAAGATATCTGTATTGTTTTTTTCTATTTAATAACTATCTTTTGGTTCCTTATGGATTTGTGTTGTAAAATCTTGACATTTTTTATAAAGGATTTGGCTCCTCCTTTCGTTAACATTATTGATACGATATATTAATTAATGTGTATTAAAATAATAAATAATCCGTTTTAGAAATTATTCTTAAATATAGAAAGGGATTTGGATATGTTTTACCAGTGCGATTTGTCAACAATGTAAAAGTTCTCATGGGCATATCCAAAACAGGGAAGGATAAATTAGAGGTGCCGTTCACCCTTTAGCAAGGGGATATATTAAAATTAAATAAAACGAATACATATAACCAATTTCTTAAAAAAAAACAAAAAAAAGATCAATTGATGTAGATCCTTAGTTTTTCAACATTTTTGAAAGAAACTAGATATGAGATGTTGCCGGTCTAAACAGGAAGGGACCCCAGGGCCTATTATAGTGAGATATGTTAGGCAAACCCTTAAAGATGGGGTAGTACTTCAGATAAGAGCGAGGAGTCCACTACACGTCTTTTAGGCTGGGACGAAAATGAGTCACACTGTCCATGAGCGAAGTGATGACTACAGACAATTAACACTAATACTGGCCCGTCAGTTATACGAAGATTACTGCAAATATTAAACATGTCTGGTTCAGTGGAGGTAGAGTGAGGTGTAGTAAGTCAGACGGTTGCCCAGCGGTTATTATACTTCAGCCCAGTGACTTGAATGCTTTCAGCTGAACCCTGTAATCCAGTTTCCTAAACTTAAAAAATATTTTGTTTCTACTTACCAAAGATATTTTTAATTGCTTCTTATATTTTGTCACAAATGAGATTTGTATATCCATTTAAGTCATATTTATTTTTACTTAAATTATTATTTAATTTTGTTACGAATTCGAATGATTTGGACTGTGCATTTTCACCGCAATGTTTAGTTTTTATTTACTTGTTTGTTATATTAAAACTGAATGTTCTATAACCTGTACTATAG